TTGGTTGAAAAAAGAATGAAAAAAAATTTTTTTTAAAGGCGTGTGAGGGGCGCCTGGGTGGCTCAGTCGTTAAGCGTCTGCCTTCAGCTCAGGTGATGATCCCAGGGTCCTGGGATCGAGCCCTACATCGGGCTCCCTGCTCGGCGGGAAGCCTGCTTCTCCCTCTCCCACTCCCTCTGCTTGTGTTCCCTCTCTCACTGTCTCTCTCTCTGTCAAATAAATAAAATCTTTAAAAAAAAAAAAAGGAATGTGAATAGGCAGGAGGCTAGGACAATGTCATACCCTAGATTTAGGGTATATTTTGGTCCGTTAGAAAAAACTGTATCCCAAAATTTTAACAAAAGAAAAAAATATATATATAAAATAAGATTAAGTACAATGAAGAGCTAGAATATTACTGTAAAAATGAAAAATTTTAAAAGACTTTTAAAAAAGGAATTGACAAGATGTTGGTTGAAAAAGGAAAGAAGAAAAATTCAACTAAAAAAATAGAAAAAGAAAAAAATAAAGAAAATTTAAAAAATTAACTTTGAAAGACTAAACATCATGGGAAAACTATGAATTCTATGTGCAGTATTCCCCTAGCACTGTTGTTTTGCCGTTCTTAGTGATCAGTAAACTTGGTCTTGGTGGGCTGTTCTTGCTGATCTTCTGGGGGAGGGGCCTGTTGCCTAGGTTCCCAAATGTCTTTGCCGGAGGCGGAATTGCCCCGCTCTTGCAGGGGGCCGGGCTAAGTCATCTGCTCGGGTTTGCTCTCGGGAGCTTTTGTTCCCTGAAAGCTTTCCCTATGGCTTTGGAGGATGAGGGTGAAAATGGCAGCCTCCCAATCTCTGGTCCCAGAGGAGCGGAGAGCTTGGGGCCCCACTCCTCAGTGAGCCCCCAGAGAAAAGCAGTCAGTCACTCCCATCTCCCCAGTCTCCTATGCAACTCTGTGCTCACCTGGCCTGTGACTGAGCATTTCTATCTCTGGCACCCGACCCCATGTGGAGTCTCCAAACCCAGCAGATCCCTACGGTATGCTCCCATGCCACTCCTCCTGGGGGAGGAAGGGGAGTCTCCCCAGATCTGCCGATTATTGGGTCCCTGCTGGAAGAGCAGTGGCCCGACTGTGCCGCAGATCACAATTTATGGCAGCCCTGAGCTGAGAGCCCACTCCTCGGCTCCGTCTTTGCAGCGGGTTTCCCCGCTCCAATACCTGGGAGCTCTGCCGCACTCAGGCACCCCCATCTTTCTGTGACCCCAAGGGTCCTGAGACCACACTGTCCCAGCGAGGGTTCCACCCCCCCCGAGCCACTGGAGCAACGTCCCTCAGCAGAGCTGACTTCTAAAAGTTTCGACTTTGTGCTCCGCTGCTCTATCACTTGCCAGTAGTTGGCTGAGGAGGCTCCCCGCCCCCGTCTATCTTCCCATATATCGCCTCGGATTCACTTCTCCTCACGTCCTACCTTCCAGAAAGTGGTTGCTTTTCTGTTCAGAGAGTTTCTGCTATTCTTTTCGTCCATCTCCTGTTGAGTTTGTAGGTGTTCTGAATGGTTTGATAACTATCTAGCTGAATTCCTGGGACTAGACGAAATTTAGGTCTCCTACTCCTCCGCCATCTTGCTTCTCCCCCTGGTTTTGAGTTTTTTTAAAGTAAATGTGATTGTTACTTCTGTAAAGAAAATGAAACTTTATAAATTAGGGACCAGAATAAATAACATACAAGGAAATTTTATCAATTGGCTGAACAGAATCTCATAGAATAACAATATTGTGGTAAGCTCATCACAGTCCAAGATAATGATCTGATATACCAGTCCTGAGAGTCCATTTTGTTTCAGTAAGAGTTGATTGCTTGTTAAATGCCAGTCTTTTTTATTTTATTGTAAATCTGCTCGTGTTATGTGTCAAATATGTTAAGTACTTGAGCCTTCCACTATGGACTGGCTTCTCTCTAGGCCTACTGTACTGTCATTATCTTAGGATTTCTCTTTACCATCATCCTGACAAGCATTTTGCCCTGTTACCTAGGTCCCATGTCTTCCCCTTTCTTTGTTTGCTCCTTAATTTGTTGGAGAGCATTCGTAGTGAACTTCCTGAGGGAGGGGTACAGATGGTAAACTTTTTGAGACCTCATATATCGAAAATGTTTCCATCATAGTCTCACAATCAATAATTTAAAAATGGAATTCTAGATTGAAAATTATTTTCCTTCAGAAATGCCTTTTGAAGGCATTACTTCATTGTCTTCTATCTTCCAGAGTTACTGAAAACTCCAGTGCCTTTTTACCATTCTGATTCTAGGTCATTTGTGAATTGTTTTTTTTCTGGAAACTTTTAGGATCTTTTTCTATCCATTTTTCTTAAATTTCACAAAGATGTGTCTTGATGATTATTTTCTTGTTGGGCTTTCAGTGGACTCTTTAAATCTGGAACTCTGATTATTTAGTACTGGGAAATTTTCTTCAATTACTTAATACTTTCCTTCTCCCTCCATTTTCTTTCTTTTCTCATTTTTGGATTTACTATTCAAATTTGGAACTTTCTGGTTTCTATTTTTTCTTTCTCTTATTGCTATACTCTCTGGAATGTTTCTCCAATCCTTCTATTGAGTTTTTCAATCCAGTCTCAGTCTCCTACCTGGAGGAATAAACCTGACTGCCAGCATTCTGGAATCTGGTGATCTTAATACATGTGTAAACTTAACCCTCTTTTTTCACTGTGGCATTCCTGTCTCAGCTATGCCTTGTACCCTCTGGTCCACAGAAGTCTGGACTAACAATCTGTTTTACCTTCACAAGAATTTATGATTCTGCTACGGTGCAGAAGGGCCAATTGCTCAGGTACATAGAGTGGCGCAGGAGATCTGATGGCCTAACTGCTTCTTGACTTTAAGCCAGTCCTCTTTTTTTAGCCCCATTTTCACCCTCTCCCTTCAAGGGTATCAGGTGCCACTAATTCCCCAATCTTTGCATGGGTTTTTTTTAACGTTGGTCACATTGCTTCTCATCTTTCCCTGCTTCCAGTTTAGGATAAAATTTTCTAGGTCTACCTAAGTTAGTTACCACTCCATTTCCTTTTCAGCTGACAAAAAGTTATTGCTGTTATCTCTTTGTTCTTATGTTTGTGACTGTTCTCTTTATTCCCTTTACTGCTGTTTTTTTTTTTTTTTTTTAAAGCTTTGGCAGGTATCTTTCTTCAAGTATAGAAAAAAATAGGATACCATTAATTAAAATATTTTTTACAGCTGAGCATATTTGATTTATAGTCAGTAACCATATTGAACAAACTTTTTAATATAGCATTCAGCTACTTAATGCTATCTTTATACAGTTTAAGGGATACACCTTTGATTAATCCATGTTTAACTAGATCTTTAGCTGGACATCTGATTGTGTCAACTTCTCTAGTTAAACATTTACTATGGCTATAAATGAAAGTATAACTCATTTTAATGCCAGAGGAATAGTATAGGTATTATCAGTGGAGTTTAGAAAAGGGAGAATGTGATGAGCAAAAATTTGGCAGTTTTTTTCTCGTACTATCCAAGGAGAGAGAGGGAATCTGGAAGATCTGTACATTCTGATCGCTAGAATTGGGGATAATCTTTTCAGGAAAAGTTTTACAGTGGCCTTTGTAAAATCCTGAAAACTACTTCTCTTTCTCTTATGGCATGCTCACTAGATAACCTAATTTTTTGCTAATTAAGCTTTCCTGATGTTAGAAAGGGAATCCTGAGCAGTATAGGCACAGGTATTTCAGTTACTAGAGTAGAACCCTGTACCTAGACTACTACTACTCCTAACAGTTGACATTCATTGAGTACTTACTATGCACCAGGCACTGCTCCAAGCACTTCATGTATATTAACTTGTTGAATACTCACATCTTAATAGATAAGGACACTAAAGTTAACATTAAGTACCTTGACCAATATCACATAGTAAGTGATGGAGCTGCATAAATTGATTTATTAATACAAACTAAAATAAATTTGCCTTGTGATTTATACTTCTTATTGAAAGTAGCAGGAGTCAAAGAGCCTGATGAATTCCAAGAATATTGGGGAAATGGAGCTTTTGCATCTGTAAGCTAGTTAGTATTTCACTCGAGCGACACAGACATAATAGTACCACCCCATAATAGAAAGTCTGCCTGAGTAAACATGTGGCCCCCAAGGAGGTTACTTTCTTAGATCTTATTAATACTGAATTTACTTAGAACCTGGTACTTCATAAAATTCTTTGGTTTTAGCTTTTTTACTGCTTAAAGATGTTAGAATAGTTCAAGTGCAAAGACAAAAGTAGCAGCTAGGAAATTGTCAAAAAAATGTGCATACCTCAAATTTATCCAAGAACAGGTGCTTCTGTCCACTTGATCCTTGTTGTATTTCTATTGCCTTTCATCAGTGATTTAAAGGTTTACTCTATGTGAAAAGAACTTCGAAAAAGGTGAATTTCTTTGCAGATGGCTTCAGTGAAAAAAGTGATAGATAGGGGTGCCTGGGTGGCTCAGTCGTTGGGCTTGGGTCATGATCCCAGGGTCCTAGAATCGGGCCTTACTTGGGCTCCCTGCTTGGCGAACCTGCTTCTCCCTCTCCCTCTGCCTGCTACTTCCCTTGCTCTATGTGTGCTCTCTCTGTCAAATAAATAAATAAAATCTAAAAAAAAAAGTGATAGATGTATATAAAATACCTGTTCGTGATATATTACTTATCTCTTAATAATCACTTTATCACTCCAGTTGTAGAGATGGAACTCCTTCTGCAGATTCTACTTTAGACAAGGATGATACAGTAGCTTTTTATTATTTGTGATTAACAGGACTTTTCTGACTATACAGTAGTTTACTAGGGGCCCCTGGCTGGCTCAGTTGGTAGAGCACGTGACTCTTGATCTCGGGGTCGTGAGTTTGAGCCCCAAGTTAGGTGTAGAGATTACTTTAAAAAAAAAAGTTTACTAAATGCTCTTTTCATTATTAATTGACAGCTTAATATTGTCTTTTCCTTTCTGAACCAATAGGTCTTGGCTGTTCAACCATACTTTCTCCAGAAGGATCAGCTCAGTTTGCTGCTCAGATATTTGGATTAAACAACCATTTGGTATGGGCTAAACTGCGAGCAAGTGTATTGAACACATGGATTTCCTTGAAGCAGGCTGACAAGAAAATCCGAGAGGGCAATTTATAAAACATCATTGCTTTTTTTTTTTTTTTTTGAGAAAAGCTACATTTCTTGTTTAGTTTCAGAAAAAAATCAAGATGAAAAGTTTTTAAATCAATCAAAGAAAACAATAAAATTTACTAGTGAATAAATGCTTCTCTAGATTCATGGATCAGGAGACTCTGGAGATACTAACATTTCTTTAGAGGAAGTGAAATTAGTATAAGGACACTTTTAAAATCTCTTAGCTACTATATGGTCCCAATTAGGTAGAGAACAATCAAATATATTTCTTAAATACTAATAATGTCTTGTTATAGAGCTCTAAAGTTACTACTTGACTTTCTGTATCTCAACCCATAAGTTTTAAAAAGTTAAAATGCTTGTATCTTAGAGTGCCAAGAGCAATATAGTCTTCTTTTACATTATGATCTTTACAAAATCCTAAGGGTGTGGTGTTTTATTTGCAGTCAGTATCTCAAAATAGATGTGTATTTATCCCCAGCTGTAGACCAAGGTGCTGTTTTGTTTTGCTTTTATTTGTTTGTTTATAGTTGAGATTGGTGTTGGGGGTAGGGAAGACAAATGAAATAAGATGAAGGGATACTGTGGAAGCCATAAAAAGGGGACTTTTCTGAGAACTTCTCTGATGGATGTCAGGGCAATTTCCCATGGAAAAAAAAAAAAAAGAGTCACCTTTGTCATTCCAAATGAAAGATTTAGTTAATCTTAGTTAGTTATAATGGGTGCCTCTGTGGATCATAAAATTCTTTTAATTCTGATAATACATGTTTTAGCCAAACTAAGAATCCTCAGCCTACCATGATTTTCTGAAATTGGAATCTCCTAGTTGATAACCATACTGGTTTCTTTCTTATAACAATAGAAGTCTGGGCAGGGTACCCAGTAAGATTCACCTCTAAAGGAGCAGTTGTTACTGAGAGGTGTTATAGTTCATCATCAATCTATAAACCATGTTTGGAAATCACTGTTACATTACGCAGACCTGAGGACTTTTTTATAGATCACTAAACTTTAATCTGAATGTCTATGAACCCCTTAAACTTCCATGTAGAATTTTATGTATGTGTTCACTTTTATGGAAAGGGGGCAATCATCGTTTTTATCCAAAGGATTAAAATGTTAAGAGTCTCTGCTACAGGGATGTCTGGGTGGCTCAGTCGGTTAAGTGTCTGCCTTCGGCTCAGGTCATGATCCCAGGGTCCTGGGATCGAGTCCTGCATCAGACTCCTCGCTTAGCGGGGAGCCTGCTTCTCTCCTTCTGCCTGCTGTTCCCCCTGCTTGTGCTCTCTCTCTCTCTCTCTCTGACAAATAAATAAAATCTTAAAAAAACAAAACCCACACTGTGTGTGAGGAAAAAAAATCTCTGCTACAGATGAAATCTTGGTAAGATCTTTGCCACTGGCTTACACTGTCTATACCTTTTCACCTCCCTCTGAACTGTTAACAAGCTAGCATCTCTTATCACAAGCTAGCATCTCTTATCACTTCTTTTACCTCATCTCATGGGGCAGGGTATGATTGTCCTCACCATTCCTTTCTTTGACTAGACACTAAGATATTCCAACCTCAATCCTGATGTTTTTCTTATATTCTTCTTTCCCTTTAAGTATTGATGTTTATTCTATTGAGTCTCTCCATTACTTACAAGTAATCATTGGAGTAACTCCTTCAGCTAAAACTAGCATTACTGACTCTTAGCTCTGTGTTTGTAGACTTGTAGTTTGAACTGTATATTCCTCTGTCTGAATGCTCCAAACTTATTTCATCTGCCATCCAGCCTGTTAACTGGCTGTACTCTGTGTCCCAAATCAGAAGTGTTAGTTCATCCTTAATATTTCTCTCTTACATTTTCACATCTCATTTATTACAGAGTTCTGAATTTACCCGGTTTACCCATTCTCTGTTCAAAAGCCTCAAGTGGGGGTCAAATTCTACATTATTGGACTGATCTAGAAGGTCTTCATTCTCAACATTTTGAAGTTGTCCAAGGACTGACAACATAAACTGTTAACATCTCTTTTGCAACATAACATAGACCCCTTGAAAATATGAATGCCCTTGACTCTCTCCCTAGAGAATTGCACACAAAATTTACCAACAGATTCCATTGGTTTTTGCATTCTCTTGAAGCCTGTCATGGTTTGTAGCTTAAGAATCATTGATGCAACCCATCAAGGGAACTTGCTTTCCTCATAATTTTTGACTTTCACTTATCTGTACTTTTTTTTTCTTTTTCCTTTTTTAAGTTTTTTAGTTTTAATTTAAATTCTAGTTAGTTCACATACAATGCAATATTGGTTTCAGGAGTAGAATTCAGTGATTCATTACTTAAATACAACACCCAGTGCACATCATAACAAGTGCCCTCCTTAATACCCATCACCCATCTAGCCCTTCCCCACCTACATCCCTCCATCAATCCTGTTTTTTTCTCTATCATTTAAGAGTCTTATGGTTTGTTTCCCTTTTCCCACCCCTCCATATGTTCATCTGTTTTGTTTCTTAAATTCCGCATGAGTGAAATCATATGGTATTTGTCTTTCTCTGACTGATTTTGCTTAGCATAATACACTCTAGCTCCATGTTGTTACAAATGGCAAGAATTCATTCTTTTGATGGCTGAGTAATATTCCATTGTATATACATACCACATCTTTATCCATTCAATGTACTTTTAGTTCTTAGAATGAATTATTAAAATCTATTGTCATTAAAATCTGTTACTAGAGCTTCATCTTCACTCTCTCCATGAAACCTTCCCAAATCCCTTTTTCTTTGTTGGGCTGCAGGAGAGGAGAAAATATAATCTTACACTTTATTTCTTCACGTTGCCTTTTGCTTTGATGTGCCATGCCTAGCGGTCTGCTAGAGATGGTAGAATTATAAAAATTATGTACTGCTTCATTCTCTTATGTTAGTCCACAAGAACAATTAAAAAGATACGATTTTAACATCTTTAAACTTTGGTTTTGTGGCCTCTGAATAGTCACTGGCTGCAATTTCAGCTTTTCTATCTCAACCTGCAAAAATTCCACCTGCTTTGGTGCAGTACATGAGAAATTTCAAACACTGATTTAGACTAGTAGATAGGACTGACCATTTCAGTGGTCATTATCATTTTCACTGTTAGTTTTCACTATTAGTTTTTTGAGTATGTATATCCTCAGTAGGGTCGTTTCATTAATACTAGAGAAAATACTTGTTTGAAAGTATTTTAACTGTTACATTACCTTATACAAACCTACCTAGTTTGCCATCTTTGGGTGATTATACTTTCTTTGGGCTTGTAGGTGAACATAAAAAGAGGAAGAAAAATTTGTCCAAGTAATACATACAGTACTTAACTTTGTATCATAAAGGCATGCTTACAATCGCTGTTGCTTTAAAGCCTTCATGGAAATGTAAACACTGTAGTCAAATAAAAAACAAAGATAAGTTGTGTGAAGCTTTATTCATTCATCTACTCATGAAATAATATGCTTTGCCTGGTTTTATTCTAGGCCCTAGGAAAGCAGCACTAAACAGAAACAAGGCTTCCATTGTCACAAAAATCTTATTGGGGATAACAAACCATAAAAGATGTCTTAGGTAGAGTTAGGGAAGTATAAGTGCATATGAAGAATAACCAAGGTGGTAGGACAGTGCTGGGGATAAGAGGAAGGTTTTTGCAAAGAGCAGAGCAATGATGTAAAAGAGCAAGCCATACAAAAATGTGGGGAAGTACCCAGACTAGGGGCAGGAAGTAAAACAGCTCTGCCTTTTTGAGGACCTGTAAACATGCCACTATTGCTGGATCTCTGGTGAGCAAAGGTAAGAATGGAAGATGATGTAAGCAAAGACTAGATCACTTAGGACCTACAGGCCACGCTAAAGTACGAAAGGAAAACCACTGCAAAGTTTGAGCAGGGTCATGACATGACATATTTAACATGTTTTTAAAGTTCTCTGGCTATTGTGTGGACAAGCAAGGAGATTGGTTAAGGAGCTATATTATAGTCCAGGTGAAGGATGATGTGACCTTTGGTAAATTACTTTTCTTTATGCCTCTACTTCAAGTGTAAAATGAGACTAATAATACTCCCTCCCTCATCCTGTTAGATTTAAATGAGTCAACATACGTGAAGTATATTCTGACACATGAATACATTATATAACATCCCCTTTGGCAGACTGTAGAAGATGGTATGAGTGGAACTGATTCACCTTGAAAATCACCTTGAATTTAATATTCCTTCAGCTGATTTCATTTCTAAACAGGGAAAAAGGGGGCACGTAGGTGGCTCAGTTGTTACGCGTCTGCCTTCAGCTCAGGTCATGATCCCAGGGTTCTGGGATCAAGCCCCGCATCGGGCTCTCTGCTCAAGCGGGAAGCCTGTTTCTCCTCCCACTCCCCCTGCTTGTGTTCCCTCTCTCGCTGTCTCTCTCTCAAATGAATGAAATCTTTAAATAAAAAACGGAAAAGGGGCAGAGAATCAGCATAATGTGGCTTATCCACAGTTCATCTTCAGCCCAGCAGTTCTTGGGAAGCTGGAGTGAAAATGTTTTAATGTTGCTTTTTGCATTTAACTCCCATGACCTCGAATTACTTGGCATGGAGTTGTTCATCTAACATTGTGGTACAGTGAAAATAGCAGTAGAATGGAAATGAAAAGATTTCCTTAGGCACATTACTGTGAGCTTCAGTTCTCATTTGTAAGGTACAACTAAATATTTCTTCTGCCTGCTTCACAGAGTGGATAAAATGACAAGATAACTATACATGGAAGCTTCTCAGAAATCACAAATGGCTAAATCCACAAATGGTGCAAAAAAATAAGATTTTGAGTACCGGTGATGTGTAAGAAGATCCTGGGGATGCAGCAATGAACAAGATCCAATTTCTGCCCTTAATGAATCTTCCAGTATTGGAGGCAGACAATTTCAAAACACTACATTGTCTTAATACGGAGTAAATGATCAGGGATTTTGAGTACACAAAGAAGGGAGGAATTTAAAGAACAAGTATACAATAATGCAATATATGTTAAGAAAAAAAAAAGAAGAAGGTAGCGGGAGGGGAAGAATGAAGCGGGGGAAATCGGAGGGGTAGACGAACCATGAGAGACGATGGACTCTGAAAAACAAACAGGGTTCTAGAGGGGAGGGGGGTGGGGGGATGGGTTAGCCTGGTGGTGGGTATTGAGGAGGGCACGTTCTGCATGGAGCACTGGGTGTTATGCACAAACAATGAATCATGGAACACTTCATCTAAAACTAATGATGTAATGTATGGGGATTAACATAAGAATAAAAAAAAAAAAGAACAAGTATACATTGTGAATGAACATACTCTGCACTCTATTCTCAATCCCTCTTACCTTAATTTTCATTGAATTTATTACCACTGAACATAGTATATATTTGTTTATTGCCTATCTCTCCCAACTAGAAAATATATTCCATGAGTATACTGGGTTGTCTTATTTTTTTTGTTAATTGTATCCCTAGCAACCAGTATAATGCCAGACACCAACACATACGAAACATTTAGTAAGTATTTGTTGAATGAATAAATGCAAATTCCCATAGGTACAGCAACATGGAACCACATATAACTGTTAGAGGAGTATAACATGCAAGGGGACTAGGGAGTGAGTAACAAAAGACCTATGTGGGTTGGGGAGATAGAAAGCAGAGGCCAAACTATAAAGGACATTACATGATAGGCTTTTGGAATTCATCTTGAGGGTAGAAGAGCAGCATCAGATAAATGCTTTAAAAGACCACTCTGGAACACTTGTCTCAAAAATGGCAGATAAAATGCACAAACAATGAATCATGGAACACTTCATCTAAAACTAATGATGTAATGTATGGGGATTAACATAATAATAAATAAATAAATAAATAAAAAATAAAAAAAAATGGCAGATAAAAAAAAGGGCAGATAAAATTCATATACTTATATCCTGTTTGCAAGAAAACCTGATGAAAATGACATAAGAAATAGAACTATAGGAATCCATACCAGAATTCTGAGGAATTTTTGGAAGCTACACAGTATATGGGATCAAGACTGATGCAGAAACTAAAACTGAATCCTTTTATAAAGTCAGTCTTATGAGAAGTTAACAGAATCACCACTAAGGTTGTGGTTCTTAACCTTGGGTGGGGTGGGGCTGTTGCATAAAAACACCTTTGGAGAATCCGATGAAAGCTACAAAAACTTTTCTCAGAAAAATTCACACAAAATTTTGGGTATATCAGATGTCATCTGGAACTCCCTTGCTCTGCTGAAATCTAGGCATAATTAGCTTAAAATCTGTGACAGTTCCACAGTCAATGAAAGTCCACAACTCTTTCCATGATTTTTACTAATTCACAGAGATTGTATTGAGATAGAGTTCACTAGACCAGTAGTGCTGTTTTTACATTATACTATATTGACCAGACATGAAATGTACCAGGCACCACTGGACACAACTATGAGTTGGACATACCTTCTACCCTGAAGGAACTCAGATTAGGGGAGAAATAAGCAAAAATTCATGTTAAAAAGTTGAGTACCAACTATGTGCCAGGCAGTGTGCTAGATCCTAAGGATACTGCGGTGAGTAAGGGTAAATATGGTCCCTGACCTCATGGAAATGATAGTCCATATAAAGAGATAGGCTTCAAACGATGAGTGCTCAGAAGTACAGAGCTGTATTAGAGAGTAATGGGGAATGTTGTCTAGTCTGCAAGGTCAAAGAAGTAATTTTTAAAATCTGGAACCAGGTACAGAAATATTGAGGGATAAAAAGAATAGAATGCTGGGAGAGAGAGGAAATGGCAGGAGTTAGTAGGATTTTGACAATATTTGGGTCCGCAGAGGCGTTCAATAAAATGTCCTGTCTTTTTTAAGAGCACTCAAGAGGTACTCTGTTCTGACCTTCAAACAATCTTGATATTTAAGCTCTGACAAAAACCCTAACCTCCTATGTCTTTGTATTGAGTGCCAGTAAATGCCAGGATGCATGAAGTCTATGTTATCCCCAGAACAATAATATTTTCCCTATTTTACAGTCGGGAAAACTGGGACTCTGATAAATAACTTGCTCACAGTCAGACATCTAGGGTCGCAGAGCCAGGAACTGAGCCTGGACATTCTCACCGCTTACACGTCCTTTGGCCTTATTGCTGACTGTTCCTGAACTGGAGCTCACAGTGCAGCCAAGAGGGTTTCATCAAACGTGCTTTGCACTTGTTGGTTCTTTTTTCTTCTGTGCCTTTCCTCACATTCGCTTCTCTGCTAGAATTTTACTCAGACCCAACCCCAGGTTTTCCTAAATCATCTTTCAAGATCCTTTTCAAATACAATTCCTCTATGAAGTACTCTCCAGCAGCAAAGAGAAGCCGTCTCTCTCCCACTATCCTTCAAAGGACTCCCTAAGGCTTCTAGTTGGTACTTTACCACCCTATAGACCTCTTATTCTCTTCCACAGATCGTCACTCAGCTCCGCCTCGTAGGAAGAAGGTGCTGCTTCGCCAGCAGCGGTAGCCCCAGAAAAGCAGGCTGCTTTGAGCCGAAACTATCTGGTGAACCCCTTCTCAACCCCCTCCCAGGGTCCGACACTTCGTTCCTTCAGACAAGTTTCAGGTAAGGTGTATCGATTCTATCTATCCACGCAAATTTCTAGCGAACACCGCTAAGATTACGATCTCCCACACAGACTCAGGGATAAGTGCGTTTCCGACTCCAAACCGCTTAGCAACCACCGGCTTCCTCCTCCGCTTGGCCACCTCCGAAATCCTCTTCCGGGGCAGAGGTCGTCCCGCCCCTCCTCGCGTCTTCTCCAAGATGGCGAGCGGCGGCGGCGGGGGGGTTTCGGTGCCTGCGCTCTGGAGTGAAGTGAACCGTTATGGCCAGAACGGTGACTTCACGCGCGCTCTTAAGACCGTCAACAAGAGTAAGTGTCGGGGCGGGCGTTGGGGCGGGCCCAGGCCGCAGAGAGGACGCGGCCTCCTTTCGGCGCGCGCGACCACCTCCGAGTAGACGCGGTGATCGGAGATCGCCGCCCGCGGCTCGGGGGCCCGAACGCCCGATGGGCGTGGGTTGCAGCCCCTCTGCTCCACCAGATCAACCCAAGGTCCTGGGTTGCTTAGAGCCACGTGTACTTCCCTCTTTATCCACCGCTGGGTAGTGAGCGTGGAATTTAAAGAGACCGCAACTCCATGCGTCTCTTTCAAACTGTTTTCTTATCCGACTCCTCCGTTTTTGCTCCTTAATTCGGAAATATCTCACATCACCACCTTTTCTCCTTCCCTTTAGAGGAGTGATCAAGACAGTATTGCTGAGGGAGCTTTTTCTGCCGCATCGGAGGGAGGAATCTGCTAGGGACACGTAGTTTAGAAGCTGGTGCTGACAAGGTGGAAGCTGTACAGACTCCGGAGAGGGAAAAGGGCTGGATATGGATGTTAGGCCTGTCAGTCTCATAGATAAAATCTCTCTCCAGTGTCATTAGATCAGAAAATGTGTGTGTGAAAGCACATTTGAAATAACATTTGAAATTACGTCGGAAGAAAAGTTTGGCCTGGTTTTTTTTGTTTGTTTTTCGGTTTTGGGGGGCTTTTTGCCCCGTAACTGGTAAATCTTGAGTCAACTGCCTTTGGTGTGAGGTTTACTCATTATATTCATTTATCCTTTACTATGTAATTGTAATAGGGCCATGCTTTTGTTTTGTTTTGTTTTGTTTGTTTTTTAATGCTGTCATGGTAAATTCTTTACTGAAGATGCAGCCTGTACTTGGTAGATTTGAAAAGTGATTACCAAGACAGGGTTTGGCTGTTTAAAGCAGTAACATACAAAGTATGTCAGTAGCATACAGGATTATGTAATTTTCAATATCCTATTGTTAATGTAAAAAGAAGTGATTATGCCACAGTGCACTTTTGGTAATTTCAGACATTAAGGAAAATAGCTACTGATTAGAGTTAATTTTATTCTTAAACTTGTTTTGAATTAACTAGCTTTTGGCTAAACCTGCAACCAGTACTATTCAGTAGCAGTGTAGTATTTGCAGGAATTATTTAATCACGTTTTTTTTTTTCAGTTTGTTGATCAATACGTATTTTCTTAATTGGTAAAAATTTATATGATTCTTACACAGAATTGGGTTCCTAATGTTACCCAGGGGCAAGGGGAGTGATTGTGGTCATTTTTACACTGAACAGCTGTTTAGCTTTCAAACTTTGCCACCTGAGTCTTTCCTTGTCCTCTTTTGCTCGGTTGTCTTAGGTGAAAAGGGAAATATTGAATGGTTTTTGGAAATACTGCCAGCAAAATAAGTTGCATTTGTATACTTTACAGCTTATAGATTTTTCTAAAGTATTCTCATTTAATCTTCTTTATAACTTTCATACTAGTTTTGCAGATCAGAAAACTGACATTTTGCTGTGAAATGATTTGCCCATGACCTGAAGACACTAATGACAAGCTTGTACTCAAACCTAAGTCATTTGCTTCCAAATTCTACATGAACTTTTTTCTTTCTTGGTGAACTAATGAAATATGTAGGATGTAGCATGTGTCCTAAGGTGAAAAAGCTGGAGGAGATAGCTCCTTTCTCCTTTATTTCATTATTTAAATATTTATTTTTGCTACAAGCATCTTGGAAATCTATCTCATTGGAAATCTTACTAAATTATAACTGTCCTTTTGCCACTTCTTAAGTTAAAAATGAAGATCGGTCATTTTTTTTTTTTAAATGTTTCAACTGATTGTTGCTGCAATAAAATTGGAAATGTAGCTTCTTGAAGCAGGGGGTGGGAAAATTTAGTAAAAATGTGAGAAGGGAATGGATTTTAAAATTTTTTCCTAAAATTGTTCTCTAGTACTGCAGATCAACAAGGATGACGTAACTGCCCTACACTGTAAAGTGGTATGCCTTATCCAAAATGGAAGTTTCAAGGAAGCCTTGAATGTCATCAATACTCACACTAAAGTGTTAGCCAAGTAAGTGATTCAGTTAGTTGTTTGTGCCGTTATTAGAAATAATGGTTACCATAGCTATAAACATTTCCATGGGTTTTTTTTCCCTCACTATTCAGTGATTTTTTTACCTTTTTTGCTTAGCAATAGTATTTCTGAAACTGGAAGGAGCAATAGCACCTTTTTTTTTTTTTTAAGATTTTATTTATTTACTTGACAGAAAGAGCACAAGCTGGGGGAGCAGCAGGGCAGAGGGAGAAGCAGGCTGCCCGCTGAGCAAGGAGCCTGATGTGGGCCTCGATCCCAGGACCCTGAGATCATGACCTGAGCCGAAGGCAGACACTTAACCGACTGAGCCACCCAGGCGCCCAGGAGCAATAGTATCTTTGTTTTTTTTCTGCCTTAGGGAGCATTTTTCTTTACCTCTGTCTTCCCTTTGAACCACTAAGAAGCAGGTAAACTGCTGAAGGATATGGGTCATAAATGTAATGAATTCTTGGAGGACATAAGGAGAACAACTCAGAAGTTTAATTAAAGAAAAAAAAGGCAGAGAGGGAGGAACATGTAGGGTAGGGATGTATAAGTAGAGGCCTTTAGGATGGTATGGCAGTCTTCACCTGACTTCCATGCCTACCTCCTTTGAGAAGTGTTAAGGTGAGTATGATTTTAGGTCAAGATCATTCGGTGTCAGAGTTCTTTAGCAGTCTTTAGAATATCTAGCATTTGTTGTTGTTGTTAATCTTTTTTATTTATTTCATCATTTCACGAAATGTGAATTTATATTCTAAATTTTTACTGTAATATGATTTTTCTTTACAGTTATGCCTAAGCCGCAAAGAAATGTGTATTGAAATAAAGTTTTTTGCAGCATATTTATTCTTTAATGAAATACTGGCTTATAAAGTTAAAAACAGTGTACAGTTGACCCTTCAATATCTCAGGGGTTAGGGGCACCAACCCTCCACGTAGTCGAAAATCTGTGTATAACTTTAGACTCCTCAAAAACTGTACTCATAGCCTACTATTGACTGGAGGCCTAACAGATGACATAAACAGTTGATTAACACGTATTTTTATGTTATATGTATTATATACTATATTTTTAGAATGAAGTAGGCTATAGGAAAGAAAATGGTATTAAAATCATAAGAGAAAATACATCTAAGATGCTATACTGTATTTATTGAAAAAAATCCACATATAAGTGGGCTCATGCAGTTCAAACCCATGTTCAGAGGTCAACAACTATATAGTATACTTTTTGTATAAGAAAAGGAGGATATAAGAATTTATATGTGTATTTTCCTGTATTTGCAAAAACAAACACTAGGTGAAGAAACAGTGAATAAAAGTCACTTGGAGGTAAAGGAGAGCAGGATAGATGTGAATAGCAGTGGGAGTAAAACCTCTTAGCATATACCTTTTGGTATGGGGGCAGTTTGAGCCATATCTATACAGAAAGATTGAAAACTAATTTTAAAACTTCAATAAAAATAAAAAAGTAAAGGGGACACTACTTTCTAGTAAACATGTTTATACTAAAATTCAGTGTCTTGAATTTTGGTTATTTTGTGACATAGGGAGATTTTCAAATAATTTTTTTTAGGCAAGTAAATAAAGGATATTGTCATTTGCTTGATAAATATTCTTCATCATGGGTTATGGTTAAAACTCCAAAATGAGGGTCGCCTGAGTGACTTAGTTGGTTAAGCATCTGCCTTCAGCTCAGGTCATGATCCCAGGGTCCTGGGATCGAGCCCCACATCAGGGAGCCTGCTTCACCCTCTCCCCCTGCCTGCCGCTCCCCCTGCTTGTGCTTTCTCCCCCTCTGTCAAATAAATGAATAAAATCTTTAAAAATAAATAAATGAAACTCCAAAATGAGTTTCAAGTGTCACGTTAATGTGGTGAGTTGTCAATGTAGATAGGTAATGTTTTTATTGTTGTATGTTTATCAGTTGTTTGGTTACAAGTACTATGTTCTTTTAAGATTTTAGTTACCTTTTCTTTGCTATTCATTTGTTTTTTGAACACATTTAAAGCAGCTTTATAGGGCTTATTATTTGATTAGTAGATTTAAGAAACTTCTGTAATAACCCATTTAAAATAGTGTTCAGGGGCACCTGGCTGGCTCAGTCGGTGGAGCACATGACTCGATCTCAGGGTTGTGAGTTTGAGTCCCATGTTGGGTGTGAAGATTACTGAAAAACAAAATCTTGAAAAAATAAAATAGTGCTCAGATTGTTTTTTTATCTAAGACAGTTAGTTATTTAGCTGATTCATGATTTCATTCTTAAATGTTTGTTTCAAAGAATATCCATGAAAGCAAGAGAGGCAAGGGAAATGGATGTAATATTATCTGCCACTTGGGAACTGATTTTCAGGCATGTTACTACACTTTGTCAGTTTCCTCATCTGTTGTTAATGGAGATTAAATGACTTAATATGGATCAGGTACTTACAGCAGTGTCTGGCATACAGTGGATGCTTTGCAGTGTTAGCTAATGATTAGATATTGGTTTTTTTCTTTTTCAGTAACTCTCTTTCCTTTGAGAAGGCATATTGTGAGTACAGGCTGAACAGGATTGAAAATGCCTTGAAGACAATAGAAAGTGCCAATCAGCAGACAGACAAATTAAAGGAGCTTTATGGACAAGTGGTAATTACTGCTTTAAAATACATGTTGACAATCATCCTGAGTGGGCATGACTGTACCTGTAGTGAGGAGCAGGGATGAGGAACCTCAGCCCATCCTGATGCTCCACAAAACTTGCCACCAAACCAATTCTTGAGGTTTGAACATATTCCCTCTTCTTGATCTTCACACAAACAGTTGCATATATAATATTCTATGAATAAATTATTTCTTCAGGGTAATTAGAAAATTAGAATTAAAAACTATCCTATGAAATTTTGATTTTAGTTGGAAAGATGAAGGCCGGTTTTGATGGCCTTCACAGTTTTGAAATTATATTTCTAGTTTTTAACACATTTTGTTTTAAGGTTAAAATAAAGTAAATCGTGATAAATAAGAATTTGGATGAATTTAACTAGTTTATGAATTCCCTAAAACTCTTATTCTGAAAGGGTTTGAGATATTTAATTAAGCCTACTGTAAAAATAAAGCTGTTAATGATGAGAGGACAAATGTTTTAGTAGAACTAACAAAACCCTCTTAAAGATTTTTAAAATGTCAGTAAGGGCAAATAATGTAATAAATGTATTGTCTCCAAGAGATACTAAGAGTTTAATAATACATACAGGTTGGAGAAAGATTTGGACAAGTTCATGGATTGTAGGTTTATAAAGAACTTTTAAGGTAAGCTGGGCAAATTTAGGGTAAATTCCAGCATTTTGAGTTTGATGAAGGGCATCAGTCTCTGTCATATAAAGTTGACTTAATTTACCCAGAGTGGCAGTTATTACCCTTTGAGAACAACTTGAATGAAATAAGCAGGAATTATGTTTTGTGTACTTGATTATTAACCCTATATTAGCTGGTTTCTGGGAAAAGGAAATAAAGATTTAATATAATGAACTCTTAGAAAATATTAAGTCCTGTTGTTAACATCTAATTTTGTTCCTGTTCACGGGGGCTTAACAATCATTTTGTGGGTGGGAAAATTTTTTCATTGTAAGTCAGATTTAGGTAGCAGGGTGATTTCTTTGGAAATGTTTTCTTTCAAAACCCACTTAGGCATTTCCCTAACCTCAGGAAGGAAGTAAATACAATGACTTCTATCTGAATCATGACTACAAATCTACAGTATAGTAGAGATTCATTCATTGCAAGTTTTTGAAAGTATTAGTAGCACACAGAACTAATTGAAAAATTGCAAAGGAAAAACTGTTGATTGCCCGTATCATGCTGAATAAGGTTTCTTACTTAGTGATTCAAAAAAGGGTTTGTATGATGTTTGAGACATAATACTATGTCTTCTCCTCTGATCTCTTACTTGGTGTTCGTCTCCCTAGTTATACCGGTTAGAACGCTATGATGAATGCTTAGCGGTGTATAGAGATCTTGTCCGAAACTCCCAAGATGATTATGATGAAGAGAGAAAAACAAACCTTTCAGCAGTTGTTGCAGCTCAAAGCAATTGGGAAAAAGTAGTTCCAGTGAGTATCCCTGTGTACCCACACAGCTATGAAACAATATTCCTGTCTAGTGTTTGACTGGTATTTTGCTCCATGACAGGAGAACTTGGGCCTCCAAGAAGGGACACACGAACTGTGCTACAATGCTGCATGTGCTCTGATAGGACAAGGCCAGCTGAGCCAAGCAATGAAAATCCTACAAAAAGCTGAAGGTTGGAAGTTTATTAAAATTATGTGTAATTGTAATGTGCATATAACTTAAAACAGTATTTCCAAAAATTGTATTTGATTTTTGTGAGATTTATAATTGGAAATTATTGATGCAGTGGGAATTTCTCAAAATTCATCTAGCTTTTCTCTTGGCATTTTAGCATGTCTCCCCTATTTCTGTCTAATCCCTAAGCCAGAGTACTTGTCCATTTTCATCCATACCAGACCTTATTTTTGAGGAGGTTTTTAATAAGTTACTGTGAATATTAAATGTAAATTGAGTTAACATCAAGCATTTACAGCAGTACATGGCATATAACATAAGCATCCAATAAATATTGGTTATCATTATTAAACTAGGGTACTCAAGTTCAGTGATAATCAGTGTGCCTTTGTGTGTACATGCACGCATGCACATACACTGCATTTATATTGGTAACACTATTCAAGCACAGTTTTAACTCCATTTAGTATGTTGTCATATATAACATTTATATGCTTTGAAGCTTTAATTAAGAAAAAAAGAAAAATAGTCTTATTAGCTTATGTTTGGTTTCAACTCCAGAAAGATGTAGACTTTTCTTCTGCATACATATTTCCCTGGAAGCTATAAAAGTGATGCAGGGACTGCAGTGATGGGGAGGGAAAAAAGGTGAAGCAGGGTCAATTTTTAATGTTGAAGGTTAAAATAAAAGCAGAAGTTGGAGCATCATGAGAAGAAAAGTATGATTGAGATTTATAATTTCTTGATTATACCCAGTATTGACAGTGGTGTGGGAAAAGGACATTCTTATACATGGAAGTTTTGAGTGTAAAAGTAATACTGACTTTGCAGTGGGCAGTTTGGTGATGTGTGGCGGATTTAAAATTTGCATACCCTTTGATCCAAGGATTTCATTTTAAGGAAATAATTAGATTAATTAATAATAATTAGATAAATGAAGAAATTTATTGTAAGGAAATAATTAGATAAATTCATATATGTATGTTTATGAGTGCTAATTGAAGGGATGGTCATAATAAAAAAATTAGAAACATCATGAGTTTCTGTCCTATAAGAGGATTGGCTAAGTTTTACCATGACCACAAAATAGGTTACCATGCAGTCTTCAAAATAAAAATGTAGATGTGGGGGCACCTGGGTGGCTCAGTCCATTAAGGGTCCTACTCTGTTTTGGCTCAGGTCGTGATCTCGTGGGTCCTGGGATCTAGCCCCACATCAGGCTCCATGCCCATCGGGGAGCCTGCTTCTCTCCTTGCTCCCTCACTCCCTCCCTCTCTAAAATAAATAAATCTTAAAAAAAATTGTAGATCTGTATTTATTATAATAGAAAGATGTCCACAATATATTAAATGGGGAAGGTAGGTTTCAAAATAGTATGTAGAATATCATATCACACTTTCATTTTAAAAGCGGCTGTGCATTTGCATTTAAAAAATAGTAATGACAATGCTAATAATGATTATCTCTTGGTGGTGGGGTTCTTGTCTTTACTACTTTTTTGTCATTGATTTTTTGCAATCAACATTTGTTACATTTATATTTTTTAAATGCCCTTAAAATTTTTTTTAACCTAGAGATTACAAATGAAAGAAAAATGCCAGAGAGCTAGAATAGGCAGGGACTGATGGTATTTATGTAATGTTTATTATTATTTATGTTGATGCTAATAATAAATTTCCAAATTTGCTTGTTATTAAAATTATCTTGAAATCTTCTGCCCAAGAATTTAATTCTTGCTCTTCAGAATGGTGAAAGGAATGGGAGTTACCCTGCAATATTAATTTTAAAACTATTTTTTCCCCATAGATCTTTGCCGCCGTTCATTATCAGAAGATTCTGTAAGTATTCCACTCTTATTAAACCCAAATTTTACACTTCTGACTAATATAAATTTATAGGGCACTTCATTGTAGTATTTATTGACTTGTTGGAATAGGTGGTGATTTATTAAATAATCACAGTAAAAATCCTCTTGATCAATTATTTGATGGAGTCTTAGGCTGGGAAATTACAATACTAGAATTTTTATATGCCATATATATTTTATTTTAAATTTATATTAATATAAATTCATTCTCTTATTTTATATGCAAGGCTCAGATCTTTGAATACGGGTCCTTTCATAGGAATCCCATGCATATTTCTTAAATGAACCACAAATAATCCAACAGTCATGATTTCCAATTGTCTTAAAGACAGTTATGAAGTAGTTTCAGTATAGAATCCTTACAGTTGTTAGCCTTTTCACCAATCTTTTATTGTTTTCTGGCGCTTATCTACACAGTAATTTGCTTTTGGAATCACCTTTATCAAATTCCTAAATTTTAACAAACTGATTCTAAGGGAAGTTTTCTGAAAATGATATGTTGTCTTTAAGATTGTGTACCTTTTGAATGTTTGGAATACTTGATAAATATGGAGATCGATTTGGAAAATTTACAAGGGAAAAAAAGTTTCTTTTTCTTCTTAGGATGGGACTGAGGAAGACCCACAGGCAGAACTGGCCATCATTCATGGGCAGATGGCCTATATTCTGCAGCTTCAGGGTTGTACAGAGGAGGCGTTGCAACTTTACAATCAAATAATAAAACTAAAGTAAGTTTATTTTAAATGAAGTGTCTTTTATAGGGGGTGAAGTCTCTTTTTAAAGGTTTGTTTCTTTTTGACTGTTGCTTATTGTTCACAGGCCAACAGATGTGGGATTGCTAGCTGTGATTGCAAACAACATCATTACTATTAACAAGGTATGGGATATACATTGCTTTCTTACACTTATATTTTACATTGAAAACATTACCTTAGCTTTATCCCAGGTTAACTTCTTTTTTCCATGACACAGTCCAGTTGTAGCAAAATCACAATCACAGTTTAACTTTCATAATGATGATTCTGCAAACTATATTCAGGTAATAAAACTTTTTTGCAGTTACAGTCTCTGGACTGTCTTACCCTTTTCCCAGTTTATAATAATGTGGAGAATCTATATATTGAAAAATAAATTGTTTTGACTTTATACTAAGCATGTGCATGTTTTATGTGTCATTTTCATCTAGTGAGTCTGAGTACAAGTTTTCTATGTGTAATTCTTTTCTTTCCAGTGGTTTTTATTTTGGGGGAAGGGAGACATGCGCACCCTCAAAGCCACATGTAAAATATTACAAGTATGAATATAAACAATCCTAAAGACTACTGTGCTAGTAAAATTAACCACCATTTAGAACATTGTTTTAATAGACGAACATTTCAGATTTGAAATGGAAATCAGTAGAAAATAAGAAAAGTAACATTTGATTTCTTTTGATAAACTGTGATTTTTCAAGTGCCATCGTATTTCATCTTCACAATTATATTTTTATTTTTTTTAATTAATTGATTTATTTTTTAATATTTTATTTGACACAGAGAGACACAGCGAGAGAGGGAACACACAAGCAGGGGGAGTGGGAGAGGGAGAAGCAGGCTTCCCGTGGAGCAGGGAGCCCGCTGCGGGGCTCGATCCCAGGACCCCAGGATCATGACCTGAGCCGAAGGCAGACGCTTAATGACTGAGCTACTCAGGCGCCCCCACAATTATATTTTTAGGTGGCAGTACTTGCTGCCAATTTGTAGGAGTATAATCTGAGGCTGAAAGGAGTTAAGTAATTTGTATAAGGTCACAGCCTGTTAGAGGTAGAACTTGGATTGAGATTCCAATCACTTGACTCCAGAGTCCTTCATGGTACTTCCTTCCTCCAATAGCAGAAATTCAGAGGGTCTCCAGAGCTGAGATAATAGCACTAGAAAGAGTAGTAGTTATAGGATGTTGCAGGCTTTTGGCATGGTTTAGATTTTCAAAAATTGATTCTGGCATTTGAATCTTAGCAGCATTATATACTTGCCTGTGTTTGTGATTTTTTTGTGTGTGTTTGTGAATTATTTGAAGTGCCGGTGAGGATAAATTCTTTTTACCTGATATGGGAAGGAGAGTGTGTAAAACACTAGATATCTTTTTTTTTTTAAGATTTTATTTATTTGATAGAGAGAGACAGTGAGAGAGTGAACACAAGCAGGAGGAGTGGGAGAGGGAGAAGCAGGCTTCCTGCGGAGCAGGGAGCCCGATGCGGGGCTCGATTCCAGGATCCTGGGATCAGGACCTGAGCCGAAGGCAGACGCTTAACGACTGAGCCATCCAGGCACCCAACGCTGGATATCTTAATCTTGTTGTCATTATATACCAAACTTTTTTTTAAAGATTTTTTTAAAATTTATTTATTTGAGAGAGATCACAGAGGGAGAGGGAGAAGCAGATTTGACACTACTCGACGCTGAGCAGGGAGCCCGATGGGAGGCTCGATCCCAGGACCCTGAGATCATGACCTGAGCTGAAGGCAGATGCTTAACTACTGAGCCACCCAGGCACCTCTATTTTTTAAAGATTTTTTTAAAATTTATTTGAGAGAGTGAGAGCAAGAGAGATCACAGAGGGAGAGAGATAGTCAACAGACTTTTTATTCAAAATAGTGCTGGACTCAATAGCTAATGCAAAAGAAATATGAAACTCCGTGGTAATAATTATATCATTTAAAAGTCTCATTCTGGTATTGAAAAAAATTGTGCATGTTTAAATTTTTTACTTTTTAACTGCAGTATTGGTGAAAGAAAAGATCTCTGACCTGGCAAATTTGTAGCTGACCCTTGAAAAAGAGGGTTACGGTTTGAGGGTTAAACAACAGCATAAGCAAGTGAACATATGGAGAAATACTTATGACTTATGGGAAGAAAGAGAAAACAGAAGTTAAGAGGATACATACATGCCAGTTAAAAATTTTTTAAAGTTTAGATTGAATGGTACCAAGGTATGGAAGGCCTTGAAAATCATTTTTTTTTTTTTTAATTTTTATTTATTTGAGAGAGAGAGAGCACAGAGGGGGTAGGGTCAGAGGGAGAAGCAGACTCCCCGCTGAGTGGGGAGCCTGATGCGGGACTCGATCCTGGGACTCTGGGATCATGACCTGAGCCGAAGGCAATTGCTTAACCAACTGAGCCACCCAGGCACCTGAAAATCAAATTTTTGAGTAAGTGCCATGATAGCAAAGTTTAAGTGGCATGCAAGATGAATTGAAGTATTAAAATAGTACAGAGGAGAACCAACTAGAAATCTGGTTTCTTAAGAAGTGATTTATGTGAGGGGTGCCTAGGTGGCTCAGTTGGTTAAGTGTCTGCCTTTGGCTCAGGTCATGGTCTTGGGGTCCTGGGATCGAGTCCTACATTGGGCTTCCTGCTCAGCAGGGAGTCTGCTGCTCCCTCTCCCTCTGCCCTTCTCCACAGCTCGTGCTCTCTCTCTCTCAAGTAAATAAAATCTTAAAAAAAAAAAAAAAGGATTTATATGAAAGTTTTTTGCTGTACATTAAAGTAATTTTACTTTGGTTTGAAGCTTCACACTCAGAAAAAGTATTTATTTTAGATTTCTTCTTTGTTTTCTTTTACTCTTCAAACTAGTAGAAAACCTGGTTTAAAAAACATAGGGTATTGGGGCGCCTGGGTGGCTCAGTCTTTAGCATCTGCCTTTGGCTCAGGTCATGATCCCAGGGTTCTGGGATCGAGCCCCGCATTGGGCTCCCTGCTCAGCGGGAAGCCTGCTTCTCTCCCACTCCCCCTGCTTGTGTTCCCTCTTTCGCTGTGTCTCTCTCTGTCAAATAAGTAAATAGAATCTTAAAACAAAAACAAAAACATAGGGTATCACTTATTTGCAGATACTTATTTACAAAGCTAGAATACTGTGCACACAGTAGGTATTCAGATGCTCAGTTTGTCCTCAAGATGCATGTAATTTAATTGTCTTCCTAGAAAGGTATGTGACATTCTGTAATTCTTAACAGGACTTTTTTAAGGCAGATAACATTGTGTTTGCTGCACACAGAAGTTTGAGAATTTGAGCTTCTTTGAGCTACTGCCTAGGTGAGAAGGACCTTAAGGAAAAGAAAAACAGTAGCTGTGTTACATTGGCATTTTTTTGCTAAAAATGCTTTCAAAAGAGGTGTGAATCTATTTCTGAATTTTATTGATTTGCTTACATAATGACTGTTTCAAAGAGGAAAGAATTACTTTCCTCATTTGTCATCTAAATTCTAAAGGGCATAGTGTGTAGATTCCAGATTTCTTTGTATCTTTGTAGTCCTGATTTCCACTGTAAGATTTGTTCTGTCCGTAAGTACTTTTCTTCAAAAAGCTCAAAACAAGCAGTTAATAGTGGAAGGATAAATCAAAAGAAAACCAAGAACCCAAGACAAATTTATATGCATCTTAGGGGTTTAAACAACCTAACCAGGCAGATGTATTATCTTCCAAGCTCTCTTGTGTATAAAATAACTAAATGGAAGAGGAATAAAGCCTTGAAGTGTTAAAAGATTAAAGTCTGAGATTGCTGTTAATGGCAAATGAACTTTTCTTTTTCAGGACCAAAATGTCTTTGACTCCAAGAAGAAGGTGAAATTAACCAATGCAGAAGGAGTAGAGTTTAAGCTTTCTAAGAAACAGCTGCAAGCTATAGAGTTTAACAAAGCTTTACTTGCTATGTACACAAACCAGGTAGGTAACAAATCTCTCATTGCTCTGGCTAAACCTTTTGGAGTATGGCATATGAGGCATAATGGGTGTAACAGTTCAATCTTTGTATATTGTTTGTCTTATACCAATGTATTTTTCAGAATGTCATATATCATAGATTTTGTTAAACAAGTAATTTGCTCAATTCTTTGTAAAGGTCTACAGCTGCCTTTTAAGAGGACGAGAACACTATTCACATTTGTAAATGAGATACTGTTCTCATTATCTTATTTCTAATCTCTCTGAATTAAAGTAGAAATCATCAAAGATGTCAACTGGAATTATAGGTTTAAGATCTGTCTTTCATTTTAGTTTGTGCATAATTATAAATGCTAAGGAGGTCCATTCTAATATGCATTAATTCTAAAGATTTCATACTTTTCCATAGCAGAGGTGTTCAGTGGGAAAGTGAGAGTCAGTAACATTTTTATTATTTAGAACTGAGCTAAGTTATTCTTGAATACTTTAGCAAGAAATACCTATACATTTTGTTGCTTTTAAGCAAAGGGTGATACTTGTGTTTTCATTTTTTAAACAAAACTCTGGAATTTAAGCATCCAAATTAATATTTAGAACTAGTCCTTTCATGGGGCGCCTGGGTGGCTCAGTGGGTTACACGTCCAACTCTTTTTTTTTTTTTTTAAAGATTTTTATTTATTTATTTATTTGACAGCGAGAGAAGGAACACAAGCCGGGGGAGTGAGAGAGGGGTGAAGCAGGCTTCCTGCTGAGCAGGGAGCCCGATG